AAGTGACATATTGGAATCTTGCATTTCCGAAGGGTGTAATAAATGTCGAATTTTCGGGATTAGTTATAGAAAGACGAAATATGAGTAGGCGCGAATCGAGAAAGTTCTCTGATACGTATGAAGAATCCTGTTTGCGTCCGTATTGACGAAGTTCTTATTTATTCAGGTGCTCGGGGTTTCATTTTATTCATATGCTACACTACAACTGACGATTATAACTTGTGATTTATTGCTTGTACATTTCCAGAAGATGGTTGCCATGAACATCAATGGTTTAATTACTGACTCGCCTGGCCTTACATTCTAATTGCTGCGCGGTTAGACAAACGTGAAGTAAATATAATTATGGTATCAAATAGACAGATTTGTTTATTGCCGAGGAAACCCGGACTGAAGTAGATCCACTACTGTGAGCTTTATTAGAATTCTTATGTTTTTTAATGAAGAAAACTGCATAGGAAATGATAAAGTTGTAAAGTTAAGTATCAAACGTCAAGTAGCGTTTGATCTCATTAGCATTACTGGGGTCGTGACAAGTATAGGAGGATGATATAGAAATTCATAGAAAGAGATATTCTTTTCCTTCTCAGCAAGTGATGGATTCAAAGGTTGCAGCATAAAGCTCTGGGTCATGGCATCTTGTTTTGTTGACTTCAAAGTGGCTTTTAGTCCGAAACAGATACCTGCATTAGAGACAAATCCTCGTAGGTCTGAACAAAAGCTTTTCAAAAGAGTTAAAAATTAAAGAGATTAGTCAAAGCTCTTAGTTCAAAAGCTTGATCTTTCTCAACAGGCATAACGCGACATCCCAGTTTCCGGTACAGAACCTCAGAAATGGCGGATGGATGAAGAGGCTATATCAGTGATATGAATCCCTTGTCTGACGTTTATATTCGGCTAGCTTCACTTCCTGGAACAATCCTTGTCAAATTTGACATATGAAGCTGACAGAGAGAGGCACGAGTGTTGCTATTCTTTCATAACTGACTGATCTCACAGCCGGGCGAAAATTCTCCATGGGCAATGAATGCTCCCCGTCCCATCAAACAAAAGGGACTATCCTTCCATAAGATAGAAACCGCTTTAGGCTAATTGTTGGAGAGTTATCTCCCGCTTGTATTTAAGTGTTCCCCATTGCTAGCAATGCTATCATAAGGCTTGATCAGCGAGGCTTGGTGTAGCCGTGTTATTGTGAATAACCCAAGTTGGCATGGAGTGCTCATGTCGTATTGTGGTCCTAGATTATATGCTAGTTTGTCAACACGGCTTCGGCTTCCTACTGATATAGACATCAAAGGACCACCTGATTCAATAGGCTAACGAGTGTTTGTTCAGTGAGATGGATCACGCAGCCCAATTTCCCCCAAGTAATGTATTGACAGGCCCATTTGATACCCTTTTATGAAATCTACATAAAATTATGTACATTTCACAGTGTTCAAAAGCAAAAGATTCGCTTTCAGTTAGGAACTCCAGGAATAGGGTACTTGATGTTTCCACTGTGGACAATGCATGTGTTATTTATACAAACAATAAATGTGCAAAACAAAATACAGTATTTACTTCAAAAAACAAAATTATGTTATGTGTTTTGGACCCGATGAATGCAGTTGAGGGCAAACAGAAACAGATAAGTAATGTCAATAATTCTTTTTTAAGGAGTAGAGGACGCATAAATGTCACATACCATGTCTACAAGAATTGTAATACACCCTTATATCACGTACACAAATGAGTAATCTTACAACCCTTCGTGGTCTTAAGGCCAAAGATCATGTTGGTCAATACCATGGTGAAACTAGATGTCAGCATCAGCCCATCACTTGGTGGCACTGCTGACGGAAGTCTCTCTGTATTACATCCAGACATCACAAAAATATTGGAATGCCAGTGGATATTGAATTACGTTGATGGGTCGTATTTGTTATGTACGTCATAAAATGTCAATTTCATTTTTATAGAAAAAGTAGATCTGTTTCGTCATTGATAGCTTTTGCACATAGATGATATTGCCCTCGCCATGATAGTGATAGTAATACAAGAACAGACTTGGTATCAACATTAGAACTATACTGACATTAGAATTGATAGCAACATTACAATGAAAGCAAAACCCAAACGACAAAAGGGTGCTACGGATCTCTAATGGATGTTAGGAAGCAGTAGGTTGTTGGAGAAACTGTTAGACACAACCGATCCGGGGTCCTTGTCAGACAAGCAGAAATGTGCTGTAATATATAACAATGCAGCTTTTATATCAGTAACTGACCCCCATAAACAATTAATGATAAACTTGGTTCTTTCTTTCTACCATACAAGGTTCTACTTTAATAGGATAATGACATAAATATTTGATGCTATTGACAAGAAAGGAATATCATCTCAAACTGCGCACCAACTTCAGGAAACCCGTTATGTAAATAGTACGGACGGAAAAGGGCCTGTATTCCTCAAATGGATCTGCTAAAAGGACTAGTATGACGTAAAATGAAATGAAAGATAATGAACGGTTAAAAGGATAATCCACATGTGTATTAGATGAAATATTTTCCAAATTTACTTTATTATTTACATGTCATTGAATTATGTGATAATATGACGTTTAAGATGGTAAGGTGGATTAGGGGTGTGTGTAACTGATGATATTATAATGGATGAACGTTCATACAAGATGTCCACCATTGACATCTTACCACGGACAGTGCGTTGACTTAATTTTTTATAGGAACCGGTTTTTGGAAAGTTTGCCAACACATTTGACTATTTTCATCACTTATTTCTGAACATGTTCAACATATGTTCTTGTAAACATCGTACGGACACTTGATGACTGAATATATACTCATGTAAAGGGGATTTCAAGAAGTTGTTGTATTTCGGTCATTCCAGAGATTTCATTTACAGACTAGAACCTGTGTTGCCTGGCGATATATACATCCATATATCTAAGATTTGTTTTAAGTACATTGTTGCTCTTGTTGCATTGAAGTATCAAAAATTAGAAATGGATAGTGAAATATCAAACAGAAAGTGGCATGAAATAACAAATACGGTAACATTAAAGTGGGAATGCGAATAATGAACGGAAAGAATAATATACAAAAGAAATTGACAGCTGACAACAAATATTTTATCTGTAATCGTCAACATTGTTAACCTCGAAGGATGTAATATAAAATAAATATAGCGGAGTCATATCGATTTTACACAACAAACAAGCTCTTCTGTAATCATTTTTTAAACAAGAAAACATGAAATTGAACGGGAAATATCAAAAATAGTGATCGGAATATAACAAATGTCTATTGAGTACAAGTTAACGGTGGATTTTGAAAATATGTTAACATGATTTGGGGAGACAATGCGTTTAAACAACCAATAGCAAGCACCAAATGACTATTGGGAGCTATGGTTATTACATAATTAACAAACGGAAAGTGAAAAACATTAAACTATTCGATTGCTGAAAACAAATATTAACTTAGTTAATTTGAAATATGGAATGCATGATGAAATATGATTCTGAAACCGTGCCTGGTTACAGGTGGAGATTATGTGAATACATTTCTAATATTTTACAATATTTTACTTGAAAATAGATGATATCAGGCACTTGCCCGGGTACAGATCCCACAAGCACGCGTGGTGTATATCTGATAGATCCACATACTGTTTGCGAACCGACTCTCTAGAATGTCTATATAACGAAATACCAATCCCTCACCGTTTGTTGTACCCAGCAGAAGGGTAACAGTAATTGTTTCAGAAGATCTTGTAAAAACAACCCACAAGAATGATATAAGCGTTCAGAAAATCCCAAAAATAACATGCCATATAAGTGGCAAGGAGGTCGAGCTTCGAAAAGCACAAACCGAAAACATATCAACGGCATTGCCTTACATGTGCCTGACAAAATGGGAGAGTTTTTTCCTTCTTGAGATTACGAGAAGTGCTACCCCGGAGTTATCTGAAAAGGAAAATAAACCAAGCAATGCTCAAAACGTCATTCCTCTTGGTGGGGGAGAACCCATGCCGGGTACCTCTATATGACTGTGAAATATCTTGCAAATTTGTTTCTATTTCGCAGAGTATATGGGCAGTTGTTTTAGCGTTTCGTTCGTGAGAATAATTCCGAGTATGTACGAAGGGAAATAGTTTATTTCTCAGCGCCGCTGAGGAGCGAAATTAGTGATGAGAAATGATTGTCCCGCGACATGAATCATCATAAATCATCATAAATCATCATAAATATAACAGAATTATCACTTTTTTTACACTCTAGAGTAGAGTGACATTTTAATGTCTTTGCTTTTTCTTGGTAAGGATGTTTTGAAACCTCTAGTCTGAAGGAGTCTATATGTTGCCTCTTTTCAACTTTGATGTGTCAGTTTGTTTCTCGCTTTTTGGAATGCGATCTGAGGAAATTTGTCTGGGTAAGTGGTGAGCTTGTTAGTCATTCACTGTCATTCGCCCGCTGTAGACATCCACATGAGGCTTTCATATTGAGACACACAATCCATAAGTTTCTTGGCAATTCGATTGTTTTTAAGCGCGGTTTTAACGATTATACTGTTCTCTGAAGGACTTTCTGAGTATAAGCTGGTTCATATTGGCATTTGCAGAAAAAGAGGTGCGGCCTAAATAAAAGTCCATTTTAAAAATGACCGTGAAATTTAAACGTTCAGATAGTTGTTATTAATGTTAAGACTCGTTTGGATATATGTTAGTTTGGTGGTTGGCAAGGTTTGGTGAAGTCGGAATAATATACACACTAGAGTTAGTATAACAGTCTTTAACCCAGGGGTAAATAGGTGAGCGGATTGCAGATTACATATTGAACAACGCTCTTGTTTTACCGTATATCAATCAATCAATCAAATATTTATTGTGTAAACGTTCCATACAGAAACAGTGACAATATTCTATAAACTACATAAACAAGATATATAATGAATCACATATATATGATGATATATATAACAAAATGTGTGTTGTTTTCCAGATCACCACATGGTGCTGTTGGCAAAAACACGAAGACCAAATGGGACAGAATGCGGCAATGTGTGTGTATATATATTGAAATTTTCACTTAACTTGTAACCACCTTATGAAATTAACTCGCGTCATGTATGATTGTCAGAATACATTCAGTATACAGTATATTCATTGATAAGAACCAGACTTACACAGAATACGTCAACAACTTACATCATATGTTTATTACACGACTGTAGCCAATATCGGTATTCGGTTAATGATCGAATACTCGTATGTTAGTATATACGGTATTGCGAGATGGATGTCACATGAAATTACCAGGTTCCGTTTTTAAAACGTGATTTACATTTTTGATATAACCGGATTGGATTTGGCACGGCGCGTGGAGTGCTGCAGACAGCGGTAGCCAAAAACTCAACCAAATCCGTCTAAATTTTCTCCATATTGTGTCTGACTCTTCAACCGTATGTTTTCTTCACTAGGGAATCGTCCATGCATGCAGAGAGACCTTGTGTCGCGGTAATCGCCCGCCATATAGACTAGCCGTTTCTGTGGGGTTTCACTATCTGGCGGTGTGGCATTGTGTCTGAAACGAAACCGAATGCATGCATGTCTATATGCGAATTACGGGTAATCCGGTCTTACGTCTTGTCCGATTTCACGCTTCGTTTCGGAATTATTCGAGGTTCATTTGCCACAGAAACCGCCGGGTGTGGGTCTAGGGTCTCTTCCATCGGCGGCTGGCGAGACGATGGGTTCAGCGAGTTTTAAGGGATAGGATACTGACATATTGATCCCAATTGCCAGCACCATTAGCTTCCAGAACTTTTTACTAGTTAGAAGATAGACGCCAGGTTGGAGCCCCATAGAAACACATTAAATACCAAATATTGAAACATCCCCCGTGTAGCTTAGTGCTTAACCCAGGTGTGTCGTAAAGACATATATACATATTTGCCAAACCATTCTTATCTTAACCCCATACAGGTATGTATTGTTTACTTGTTACCTGTGTTGTCTATGATATTGTTTATAACTAACAATCAGCTATATCAAGATACTTAACGTTGTCCTCAATTACATTTTCTGGCAAAGCAGATATATACGGATTAAATATTCAATAATATTGTTAGAGTTTTCATAAGACGCCAAACATATCCATATCCAACGATTAACTTGTATATTTCATTTTGGTCTTTTCGCGCATGAGTTGAAATTACAGGACAACGAACGCTTAACTTGTATATTTAATTTGTGTCTTTTTCACACAAGGGTTGAAATTAACAGGGAAGACAACATTGAATAGCTTAGTCCTGTTCGGCGTTTAAGTTCGATTTACTGACCCTAAATCAAAATATTGTGTTGTTTGAGGCTCATTAAACTAATCACATACAGTATTGTTGTTCATTGCAATAAGCGGTGACCCGTAAATTTATACAGACACATGGTAGCCTACCGTATAGAACACGATAGAGTGGCCCCATGCTGCATGACAGTGTATTATATAATGGGGTAAACCTTTCTAAGTCACACTGCCCATTAAGCGTGGTCTGAAGAAGGAGGATTACCATGAGTAGATTAGTATTATAGCTGAGCGATAACTAGTGTAATAATTAGATACCCTCGTATTAACTAGTACGTACACGTTGGTTAATTCGGCAGACATTGTTATTTCTTGTTTGGATTATGGAAAGCAGTCATGGAATGTACTTATCAACACGCAATCACTGTGTAACAATGTTTGACATATTTAAAACAAATCAACCAAAATCGAGCCTATGTCACGTATGCAAAATGTTTGATTTTTTTATCGATTCAGCCTTAGAAACTGTCTGATGAAAACATTATAATCTGAAGTATCGTTATCCAAAATCAGTGAAATAATTGAACTAGTTTTCGGGGATTTTTTTCAAGACAGGTTATCAATTGGAAATGACACATGGCCCAATTTCCTAATTGTGTTTCTTGGATATTTGTATGTAGATATATATGTCTTGTGATGCACGTAATGCAGTAATATAGTCAGTTTCCCGCAGGTGGAGGATATGTGTCTCGCCTATCAATCATATTACGTCAGAGCACGCGCTGGGCTCTATGGCCAGTGGTATTAACAAGATTCCTTTGAAATGTATTACGCAAGATGAGGACTTGGACAATCTGATGAAGGAACTGGTTGTTCAGGCTATGTATTATTCCTTGACAGTACCCACGTGACAAGATGACAGAAAAGTCATGTATGTTTCAAATGTCCTGTTTATTTACAATGTTAACAATGCAATTTGCACTGTTAACTTCAGTTAGCTACAAACGTGTAAATTCTCGCCGATAATGCGATCGCCGTGATTTCGTTTCGATTCTCCTGATAAGAACGTTTTTAATTTTTGTAATATGATTTGTTTTATTGGGACACTTGTCCATGTATTGATGTACATTTTAGTTGGTGAACTGAGTATCAATGGTTACATTTCCTTCTCGTCATTTTGACAACTGTTGTATATTTCCGTTCAAAGAGTGCTCCGTGATTTCTTTGCATACCGGTAAATATACGAAAGACGGTTTGTATATACATGCCCGTGGAGTCCCTTACACAGTCTAAACGATAGAAAAATAAACGATAGTTTCTATGTGAAATGTACACCGCCCCGAGCCAATATTTACCCCGACTTGCTGTGTATAATGCATGGGGGAAGGTGATGCATTTCACCGCACGCTGAAATTGACATTCAACAGCAGCTGTTTCTAAGAAATCCGAGTTATTTGCATCTGTTTTTCTAAATCTGGAATCAACTTAACTTTTCATTAATGGAATGGCTGTCTAAATCAAATGTTTACATTATCATTTACTATTTAAATTTATCAAAACAAATTTAAGCGGCGACGCGGCGAATTTGACAAGATGGTTTGGAACTTGTTTTCATTGAGTTAAAATAAGTTTTAGCGAAAAGAGGCACGTGTTATCAATTCCATTTCTTAAAATTTTTCCTTGCTGTCTAATTTTGAATGATTAAGTGATACCGATGGATAGATTTAGAACGTTCTAAAATTCTAAATGTCACGGACATTTACGAAATAATTTCGCCTACACTTTGCACACATCTACGACAAGAATTCTAAAACGACATGCAATAGTTTGCTCTTGAATTTCAATTTATTTCCTCTTATTTTTTGTCTAAGTTGAAATAAAACAGACGATTCTTATTAGAGCTTTTTAAGCGCCTTGGCTTATTACAAAGACGCGAATGTTCCGTTTTTGAATATTTCTCGAGTCTCCAGGCACCCTTAAAGTGTGCTGAGGATCTTTGTTGGAGTGTAATTTTCCCAAAGTTAAATATATGAATCATTTACGTTATTTTTTAAACTCTAGATCGATAAACGATTACTTCAAAATTTAATTTGTTCGACTACTGTACAACTTCAAATCTAAAATGACATTTCTATTCAAAACGATTTTGTTCTCGAAGACAACCATTATAATCCTATTATAGAGTCTTTATTTAAGGGACGTCTTCATCCTGTAACACGGAATACGTTCTGTATCACCAGGCGCGAAAGAAAATCTCTTGTTGTCAAAATATTATATGTTTAAAATTATATTCAAGTCCAAATTCATAATTCCGAAAACGTGTGTCTGTAGAAATGTTGGCAAGTTTTATCATTATTTATAGAGAATATTTTAAAGTTAACATCTGAATATTAAAGTTATTCTTATATTTTCAGTGTTATGTTAATTTATGGACCATACAAGCGTATCCCCTACGCTTACATTTGACTGTTATCACGATTTATAAGTGAGTGTATTTATCAGTAACTGCTCACGGCCGCGTCTGCATGTTTCAAATGAACATTTATATTTTTCTACTGTCCGTTACGGGTGTATAAAAATGCGTGAACATGTATAAATCGATCATTTTCGTTATGCAATATTTGCATAGCAATTTCGTGAAATTTAGTAAATAACTCTGCAACCCTGAGAGACCTCACAATGTATGCATCATTGAAGCATAAAAATTAATTTAGTTCAAATGATAAAGTTATGTACATTAATCCATGTTACTCCAACAATTAAAATTTGTGTTTTGGTTGAATTTTGTTTCCATATTCTTAAAAAAACAAGAAACCACCAACGCTAACTAAAACAACGAAAACTCCGCGTGCTGATCGTGTAACCACACTAGGTTGATGTGACCACACAAAGGGCTTGTTTTATCGCTGAAGACTTGTGTTGTGTGCTATGCAACATTACTTTCGTACAATAGAATCGCGTCATTCATACGCCTCGACGCCTTCGGAGATTTTGACGGACACTTATGTAGATATTATTAAATTCTAATTCAAGTAATTGAAACCATTTTATTTGGATAGACTCAGTCGCATTGTTTGGTTGACGTGTCGGATTTCCAACATAAATTGTCTTTCAACAATAGTTTCCTTCAATGATTGTCGTCGTTGTGTTGGTGGCAAAATTAAAGATTATCGTGCGGATTAGTCAACAAAACCACACGCATCCACCACGACTACATAACTGCCGTCATGGTTTTGTGCTTCATCGTTTAGAAATTTATGTTCTGTGATTAAGGGTTTTCCTTATATTATGCGAAAACTATTGAAGGATTTTTGAGAATATTCGTTTTTCACGCTAACAAAACTGGACTGCGGTTGCAGAAATAATATCCCTTATAAACGGGATTAGAAATATTCTTCAAGAATTTAATGCTACATTACAAATAATGGTTTTCGTTACAGACACACGTTCTGTATATTATGAAATTGACCATCGAAAACGTCACGATCGAAAGTGGGTTTCCTTGGATGAACCTCTAGCATGCAACATTTCCATCATTTCCTTTTCTGAAATCTCCTGACAATAAGCCAGAGTAGATAATTAATTATCTTCCTAGATGAATAATCATTTAAATACAATTTTAAAGAAAATCAAAAAAGGAATACCAGTTTCAGTAATCTGAAGTGATAGATTTGTACAGCCTTTTTATAAATAAATTAATCAGTTCTGTGTAAATTTGGTTATGACTGTTTATTTCTGCAAACGCGTACGTTTCCTAAAGCCCCGCACTGCCATTATTTTAACTACACGAGTCTTGCAGGGTCGGTTTGGTAGCTGAAATGTGATACTCGCTGCTATCATACACCCTATCGGATATTCTGCCGCTCTGCACGTAGCAATATGTCACACTCGCTCGAAGAAGTGGGAAAAAATCCCCTATCGGTGCCTTAATTGTAAACGTCCGATGTAATCATGTCCAATCGTTTCGATACTTCCTCCAGAAGGGTCCATGCCACGGCGTGCTACTAAGCATCTGAGATAAGCCTCCTAAAATATTTGGAGTTAGGAATATGGATGCAGGCTGCCCCAGTTGTCAGCGCGCCTGGCGGTAGGAAGCGAGGCAATGAGACCAAGGAAGAGATGGACGTTGTCCCGTCAGAGTTACCTCCCTTTAAACAACTCACGCCGTCCATGCGCGACGGCGGTGACTCTGAATATGGCGGTTTGGTCATATCTTTTTATATTCGACAGGTTCCAGCAATATTTCAGTATATTGCCACGGGGCTATTGTCAGGCATGTGCATATCCCTCGTGTTTCTTTGTCTGGAAACGTGGCCAGGATTATCGTGCCTTGGTCAAACACACTTATCTATCGCGGACGGTTATCTCCATTTGACAAAAACCAGGTCACGCAAACGACCAGTGACAACTGTCCGCCCACGACTGTCCAGGCTGACCAGTGTTAAGCCCCGTTGTGTCAGTTGAATTGGCTATTTCGCCGCTGTGAATATATGAAGTGTAAAGCAATGATCTTACCAGGCCGATAATTAGCACTCTTTCCGTTTTTTACCCATTCCGTGCAGGGTTGATATATATCTTGCACCGGCCTAGCCCTTGTGGATTAGGCGACTTCAGGTACATAGATACAAGAGGGATACACCATGTATCATGTTTACATCTAGAAGGTGTAAAGAGCTTTATGTTGTCAATCGTGGAGTATATAAAAGGAGCTTAATTTAATTTCGCCGGCCAAAGTAGGAAAAGGAGATTGATTGGTGCGTCTGTCTTAGGGAAGGCTCATGGAGTAGACTGACCTCTTTTATGCACACAAGAACATCTGGAACACATCGAAGTCATGCAATTCTGTTCATGCCTTGTGTTCCATTTTACTAGCTTGAACTTTGGATGCATGTACATAAGTTGAAACTGCAGCACAATGCACTAACTGCTTCATAGGCAATACTCCAAGGAGAGATGTATCAGAATTGGAAATGTTATATTTTCGATTTTGAATGCAAATACGTGTTGTAGTGTCGAAAGCCACTGAGGGAAATTAAGGTTTGACATTATTCCAATTTTACGAGTGTGTATGTTAAAATCATATGTGGCAATTTTATTTCTTCTAGAACGTTCATGTAGTTTACGTAGTCTTAAAAAACTTGCCATGTTCTTTGCAGGCATCCATCCACTGGCGAGACAAAGTTCTATCATTATTAAACCATCAACGTGTTCAACGACGCAGTAACTCCCAACACCCTACAGTGATTCCAACAGCCATAGGATACCGACCAGCGTACACACAACACCACCACGGCGACTGCAACATCCCCGTCTCCTGCCTCTCTGAAATCTAATCTTTTCCTCCATTCCCAATAGTCCCATAAAGCCATGTTTTCTATGATCAAGAGCGTTGCTAGTCAAATATTGATATTCTGTGGTACAGCATCCTCCATTCTATCCCAGAGTGACCGTAAAACGTCACAGACGCGAAAAGACAGTTGAAACTTTAAACTGACGTATATGCGAGAGAAGCTGAGTAGCGATATTCACAAAGGGAGGCAAATATTTCATCCTTTTTGGGATCCCTCCCCGGCGTTTTATACTGTAATGTATCGGTCCCGAGTTCGAATCGTGTTTCAACCACAGTTGAGAATACTCGCCAAAAGAGATTTTCTTCTACGAAAATTACGCCCCAAAGTGTTTCTGTAAGAGAAATTTATTGTCCTGCCGATTCATGTATATGTTAAAGCTGACGTGGTAGTTGTGAAGATTTACGATGACGTTTTTGTAGAGAATAGTATGAGAACCCTCTAGAGTGGAGACGATAGCTCAGCTATGATTGATGTCGGCGGGAGTTATACAATCTTTAAATCTGACAGTAAAGACACACGGATAAGAACATTGACTTACCCAATTAAGGACTCAATGGGCGAGAACCTCCCTGTGTTATTTGCGGATGTCTCACGTTCTCGGGTGCAGGTGATGCAGATAACTAGCTGTTTACACTTGCAGTGAATTGTTTTGTTTCAGGAGATTGTGTTGAGACTAAATTTACCTTCAGTCGGTTGCCATTTCTCACAATCGGCTATAACATTTTTGTTTGGTCATTTTAATTTTTTATGTATATGTCTTATTTTTTTACACTGATGTTAATCCATTTGTCACAAAGCTACTAATATATTTATGTGCCCGGTTGTTCGACAAAGGTTTCGCTTCTGGTAAGGTAGGATTATTTTTTAATCGTCCACCCCACTGTTCTTGTCTCGTGGGTTAGAATAGATAGGTAGAATAGATAGGATGATCACTTTGTATTTTTACATGGGTAATAGTTCTGTTGTAGTACAGTTATTTGCCTTAATGCCTGTTGTTTTCTGGTCCAGCGTTGTCATTTACTGGGCTCTAGAAGAAGCTGAGTAGAGTGAGCAGATTCACTCATTACTATCCAAACACAATATAATTTATGACCCAACAATCTCAGGAACCAAAACATTTAATATTTCGTGCCATTGAAAAATACACCGTACAATACCGCTTTTGAACAACATTTATACGTTTGCAATTTGGAAACAATGACATTCCACAGCGCTGGTCGAAAGTGCTTACGGTATTACGCATCAGTTTGACCTTCACCTTAACTATTGACCTTGAAATGACGCAGGCCTTTAAGGTGACAAATCGCCAAACATTAGGATATGCATTTGAAGGGTACACACTATTATACGGGTAGACCACCCGTATGTGCGCTGAAATACCATGTCAGACGGGCATATGATGGATGCATTGAAGTACCTCTGTCCAATCGAGAGGTTGGCCACCCAGTCGACCCTCCATATTCATACGGGTGGGTTGATCTTCGATATTAAAATGAAATATGATATCATGTTTTATTAAAGATTATTTTAAGTGGACTTCCTATTTTGGAGTTTGATATTAAGCTAGTATTCGAGTGTGAGACATTGATTGATGACTGGATTCATTCGGCCCTGTTCATTGTTCTCGCGGAGTCCACTTGACCCATGAGGTGACCTCAGGACATATGGCAATTCTCCGTTGAGAGGGTGGATTTTTAAAATCAACATGTCCTAAACGAACCTAGGATATGCATACTATATATGTAGCTACAAATAAATTAATTGAACATTGCTTGTCAGGCGCGAATACATTGCAAGAAAGTTTCCTAGAAATGTTTTTCACTTTGGAAGACAGATATAGAGGATACTAAACTCGCTTCCGTGTAATACCATTTTTATTAAACGAGTTAATGATTTGATACTAAATCTTTCACAAGTTTAATAAAAATGGTATTACACGGAAGCGAGTTTAGTAATCTGTTTATTACTCTCCAACATAATTTGATAGAAACTGCCTACAGTTTGATAACATTCAGATTTCCGCGAGTCAAGCAAGGTCTAATACTATTGTGACAGAGGTATTAGCATTGTGACGTCGTAACTGTAAACCATTATGACGTCATACGTCTAGCGGTATTACACTAGTATAATATTGCCGTAATGATATTTTCGGTACACTGCAGTCAGTATCTTACGTGGACGAGTAATAAATATAGAACGTAATACTAGTGCATTTGGATGTTTTGTATTGAACGAGAAGATGTCATGGGTGCATCTTCTCGTTCAATACAAAAAATCCAAATGAACTAGTATGACGTTCTATATTTATTATATACCCTCTTATCTTGCCTTAATCTGTAACTTAATAAAACAAATCATAGCATACAGCAATGTAGAACTGGCAGGGTTCAATAAGGAATCTGGGGTGCAATACGGAAATTGATGACGTCATTACTGTATTACAACCCTAAGCTTACATGGGTGTATAATAAAATATATTACAACATGCCACGTTTAGAACCATATGTAACTAACAGAATACTGAGTGTATATTTCATGTCTTTATGGATGAGTCCACTGTATAACTGCATACCAGTGGGTGTTATTTGCACTTTGAACTGTATGAATTCCATGCCACTGTGTGTAATTTGCATGACTGTGTTTTCAGTGCAGATGTGTTTAATTTGTATTTCCTTATTTCAATTGATAAGAACGTGACTTCCTCGCTAATGATTAAAGCAAAGTTCTCACTGAAGATAAAACAGAATAATTACCCGAATGAGTAAACACAAATGATAATCAACTCCAGGATCTGTTATTTACCACAGGCTTCGTCTTAGCTCCATGAAATCCAATTAGTACCAAGTTCTACTTTCAGAAGTTTTGAAACTGTCACTTTTTCTCAACATTTATTAAATAATTTGATAATGAATGATAGAAACTGTGACATTGACACGAAACAAATATGTAGGGCTTCGCGTGTCCAACTGAGTCCCTAACGCCGGAAGTCAGCAGCTAGTGTGTGGAGGTCCTCCATATTCATCTTGATACCTGCACAAGTTGTACATCTCAACACTGCTAACTGTAACTAAACGTTCTTGTCCTGGCGACATTGTCAATTGGTCAACTGCAGATGTATCAATAAATACACCGCGGATGGTAGTTTTCTGCACGTGTAAACTGTGATACTTGGGTGTTTAGTATGATACAGTGGCTGTGTGTGACGCTCTGTGTTCGTGTCAGTACCGTTATCGTGTCAGTACCGTTATGTTACAGATAATGTTGCACCACTTGACCCTTTTACGAAATTGGGAAACATGTTTTGAAGCCACTTTAGGAATTTAGCATTCACAAAGACAGCAGTATTTAGCTGACCTGTAGGTAAACAATCGCAAGGTAAACGACAGTGGTCATCCTAGTTGCCCTTGGAAATCCAACGTTAATATGCCCAGAGTATTAGTTTATAAAAGACTGTTGGGATACGAGGGACAAGGTCGCTGAGATGAACTACAATAAGTGACCATCTTAGATGACAAACGGCTACATACAGCTAAACATGTAATAGGGAATCTCCGTGCAAACTGTACGTCGCTGACGGTCGCCAGCAGAACCTCTGGGACCTGTGAAGATAGGGTTAGATCAGCAACCCATCATTGTCGTCAGAAGCGACTAACGGGATCGGGTGGTCAATCTTGGTTGATGCATATCATCGCATTCCACTTGCGTAGATCGATGTTCAGACCGCCATCACGTAGCTGAAACATTGCTGAGAGTAGCGTTAAACAAACAAACAAACAAACAAACAGAGATACACGTCGTCAGAGTTGGGTGTTACGAATGCAGGTATAACGTTATAGAAATGAACTGTGACCCCCTTACTCCATGCCACCCCTGGCCTTGAATACTCTACCAGGATGACAATACACGCCATTGCTGTACTCGAACGGGTCAAGAGGTCACGGACAAAATAGTTAGTACTTCAGTCAAACAGGTGTTCCTGTTAATGTTAGTACTTCAGTCAAACAGGTGTCAGTGTTAACGTTAGCACTTCAGTCATACAGGTGTCCGTGTTAATGTTAGTACTTCAGTAATGCAGGTGTCTGTGTAATTGTTAGTACTTCAGTCACGCAGGTGTCTCTTCGGTCAAAGAAGTATCCATGTTATGTTAGTACTCATCAGTTAGTACTTCATGCAGGTGTCCGTGTTATTTTCAGTCATACAGGTGTTATTGTTAGTACTTCTCATCGGTCAAAGTTAGTACTTCAGTCAAAGTATCCATGTTAATGTTAGTACTTCAATCATACAGGTGTCCGTGTTAATGTTAATACTTCAGTCATACAGTGTATACTTCAGGTGTCCGTGTTAATGTTAGTACTTCAGTCATACAGGTGTCCGTGTTAGTATTCAGTTGTCCGTGTTAATGTTAGTACTTCAGTCATAGGTGTCCGTGTTAATGTTAGTACTTCAGTCATACAGGTGTCCGTGTTAATGTTAGTACTTCAGTTAAAGAAGTATCCATGTTAATGTTAGTACTTCAGTCATACAGGTGTCCGTGTTAATGTTAGTACTTCAGTCATACAGGTGTCCGTGTTAATGTTAGTACTTCAGTCATACAGGTGTCCGTGTTAATGTTAGTACTTCAGTCATACAGGTGTCCGTGTTAATGTTAGTACTTCAGTCATACAGGTGTCCGTGTTAATGTTAGTACTTCAGTTAAAGAAGTATCCATGTTAATGTTAGTACTTCAGTCATACAGGTGTCCGTGTTAATGTTAGTACTGTCCGTGTTAATGTCATACAGGTGTCCGTGTTAATGTTAGTACTTCAGTCATACAGGTGTCCGTGTTAATGTTAGTACTTCAGTCATACAGGTGTCCGTGTTAATGTTAGTACTTCAGTCATACAGGTGTCCGTGTTAATGTTAGTACTTCAGTCATACAGGTGTCCGTGTTAATGTTAGTACTTCAGTACTTCAGTCATACAGGTGTCCGTGTTAATGTTAGTACTTCAGGTCATGTTAGGTGTCCGTGTTAATGTTAGCACTTCAGTCATACAGGTGTCCGTGTTTAGTACTTCAGTCATACAGGTACTGTACTTACAGTTAAAGAAGTATCCATGTTAATGTTAGTACTTCAGTCATACAGGTGTCCGTGTTAATGTTAGTACTTCAGTCATACAGGTGTCCGTGTTAATGTTAGTACTTCAGTCATACAGGTGTCCGTGTTAATGTTAGTACTTCAGTTAAAGAAGTATCCATGTTAATGTTAGTACTTCAGTCATACAGGTGTCCGTGTTAATGTTAGTACTTCAGTCATACAGGTGTCCGTGTTAATGTTAGTACTTCAGTCATACCGGTGTCCGTGTTAATGTTAGTACTTCAGTCATACAGGTGTCCGTGTTAACGTTAGCACTTCAGTCATACAGGTGTCCGTGTTAATGTTAGTACTTCAGTCATGCAGGTGTCTGTGTTATTGTTAGTAGTTCAGTCACGCAGGTGTCTGTGTTATTAGTACTTCAGTCATGCAGGTGTCTGTGTTATTTTTAGCCCTTCGGTCAAAGAAGTATCCATGTTAATGTTAGTACTTCAATCATACAGGTGTCTGTGTTAATGTTAGTACTTCAGTCATACAGGTGTCCGTGTTAATGTTAGTACTTCAGTCATACAGGTGTCTGTGTTATTGTGAGTACTTCAGTCAAAGAAGTATCCATGTTAATGTTAGTACTTCAATCATACAGGTGTCCGTGTTAATGTTAATACTTCAGTCATATAGGTGTCCGTGTTAATGTTAGTACTTCAGTTAACGTTAGCACTTCAGTCATACAGGTGTCCGTGTTAATGTTAGTACTTCAGTCATACAGGTGTTATTGTTAGTACTTCAGTCATACATGTGTCCGTGTTAATGTTAGTACTTCAGTCATACAGGTGTCCGTGTTAATGTTAGTACTTCAGTCAAAGAAGTATCCATGTTAATGTTAGTACTTCAATCATACAGGTGTCCGTGTTAATGTTAATACTTCAGTCATACAGGTGTCCGTGTTAATGTTAGTACTTCAGTCATACAGGTGTCCGTGTTAATGTTAGTACTTCAGTCATACAGGTGTCCGTGTTAATGTTAGTACTTCAGTCATACAGGTGTCCGTGTTAATGTTAGTACTTCAGTCATACAGGTGTCCGTGTTAATGTTAGTACTTCAGTCATACAGGTGTCCGTGTTAATGTTAGTAGTCAGTCATACAGGTGTCCGTGTTAATGTTAGTACTTCAGTCATACAGGTGTCTGTGTTAATGTTAGTACTTCAGTTAAAGAAGTATCCATGTTAATGTTAGTACTTCAGTCATACAGGTGTCCGTGTTAATGTTAGTACTTCAGTGTTACATGTTAGTACTTCAGTCATACTTCAGTCATCCAGTGTTAATGTTAGTACTTCAGTCATACAGGTGTCCGTGTTAATGTTAGTACTTCAGTCATACAGGTGTCCGTGTTAATGTTAGTACTTCAGTCATACAGGTGTCCGTGTTAATGTTAGTACTTCAGTCATACAGGTGTCCGTGTTAATGT